TCTCGTGTGGCCTTTGCTTCAGCTTTATTAACTACCTTTATCTTGACCCATGAGGGTGTTTTGCATCTTACTTTCTCCCCTGCATTCTCCTGCTGAGGAGGGGAGTGATGGAGCGGCTTGGTGGGCACCTGGTGTCCAGCCAAGGTCAACCCACCACAGTCTGCTATGAGGAAACAGCTTTCCAGCCATCTCTGACATAACTTAGTGAGTTCTTATTGCTGTTTACTGATACAACTTCTCATTTTTGTTTGTATCATTTCCTACTCTTTGGGCAGCTGAAGCAGCCCGATCGCACCATTATGTCAGATTCCCAGTTTTCAAGTTCAGTAGCTTTTCAGAGGGGTAGGTGCTTTGTGTACGTTGGAAAAGGGAGGGCTTCTAGTTCCTGAGATGAAATATTACATCTTAATCCTTAAAGGTTGTAATACCTGCAGAAGTTCACACATTTGCATTATCACAGGATTCAGTATTGCTGATAATTAATGTCAGCCTGATAGCTTCGGCAGAACAGAAAATAATTTTTATGAGAGGAACGTTTGTTTTTTTCAAGGTTTTTGGGTATCTTACTGGATTCATGGACTTTTAGGAATGGTGAAAAATGGGTTACTGACTGTAATGCAGGGGAATTAAGTATTGAAGCTGAGATTCATTCCCAAGTTCTACAGTTTATTTCCCTGGCTATCATGTTTTCAAATCTCCCCTCCATCCACCCCCAAAATACATGCATTCATCTGCACACACAAACGAGAGCATTAGACTGCTGCTAGAGTTTTATAGGTAGAGTAAAAGCAGCAATGAAAGTGCCTCATGTTAGGCCAGGGAAACCAAGTTACACTGGTTGTCCTCATATTTCATTTCCATTTATTTATGGTGCATCAAAAGAGAATTTCAAAGTGAATGATGATTTTGCTGTATGTATTTCTTTTTCTGTGTTGTCTTCAAGGGGTTAGAGTGTTTATTGAGAAGAAGGCACAGCTGACGCTTCTAGGAACTGAAATGGACTATGTAGAAGACAAACTCTCCAGTGAATTTGTCTTCAATAATCCCAACATCAAAGGAACATGTGGCTGTGGAGAAAGCTTTAACATCTGAAATCTCTGGACTACTTCTTTGATTTTGACCACCCCAAAACACTTAACTATTATGGCTTTCAGAAGCAAATGTGTTTTCTTCAGGTTTGTAGGCTGCGTAAAATGGGGATACTATTAATAAAGCTAAAGTTAAATCATTTTGAAAATGTGAACTGTGTGTTAAATTCTACCATTGATGTAGTTATGCTGTAATTTGTGATGAGTGGGGATCCAAAAGGTAAGAACAGTACATGCTGTAGTGACATGGCTGTGCGTTTACATGCCAGGGTAATAAAATATCACTTGTTCTCCTTTGTCATTTTCTTTGTCCACGCTGCTTGCTCTTCCCCATCCAAAACCCATTTGAAAGAATGCATTGCTTATGTGATCTGCTTTCATTTGGAGGGGAAAGAAGGCAAAACAAAACCAAAGGAACCCAACCACTGGTATCTGTTTGTCCATAGAGATTTGTAAACACAGGCACACAGTCCTCAGCTTTGAAGTTCTCTGTGATTATGTTGGTGCTTGCTTTGTTTCTGCAGTTTTCTGGTGCTTTTTACCTTCTTAGGCCTGGGTTTGTCTATTAATACAGTGGTACGCTAGCATAGCACTGCTTCTAGAAATACTTCCAAAACGGGCTAAGCCAATTTTAATTCTGTTCCTTTCTTTGTTGAAGTACAGTCTGTGCTGTATTTAGCCATTTTCAAGAACACTAAATATATTCAGGCACAGGAGTACTAAATTGGGATACACACAGGCCTTGTTTTTCACATTTCTGTTTTATATCTTTCCTGACTTCTGCAAAGTTGGTATAACGGCCTTTGGGTTCCGATTCCCCATGTTCATGGAATGTCTGCGCACCAAAAAATTGTGAATGCTTTTTCTGAGATTTCAATCTTACACTTTTAATTACTCTCTTTGTAGTCATGTATGCTACTAATTTTGCTACTAACAGCTTGAACTCTGCTTTGTAGCTCTGAAGGCACTGGGGTTTCCACCAAAGCTTATGGTAACTTCTAGGTAACTCCTGTCTCGCAGTTAACTTGGAAACAGGGAAGAAAGCACTTATAACTTAAAAAGCCCTAGTCTTTTGTGGTTGTTTCAAATTGACTCCAGACAGTAATTAAAATACTGTGTTAATAGGAGGCTATTTTTTCTCTGGAATTTAAACTTGTTTTCTCCTAATTAGATTTTTTGCTTTTGTAAATCAGGTTTTTTTGAAGTTTATAAAGTCTTCAGCACTTCTTCGCTGGCACTCAGGCAGAAGTGTAAATGTCTCTCTGGACCTTCTGAAAGCTGGTGCGAGAGAAGTACTGTTGCATCCTTCTATCTCCATGCTTCCTTGGCTGTCCAAGGATGACACGGTGCAGCTAAGCTTCTCACTTGTGCAGGAGAGGAGGTAACATCTGCCTGGGCAGCTGACGGGAACAGCTGGTGGGAAGGGTGCTCATTCAGAGTAGGGGACGACAGGGCCAAGGATAAGCAGGTGCTGAGCTGAGATGGAGAGCATTAAGGCTGCATGTTGAAAATCTAGAGCTCGCGTTGATCTGGGCAGTTGTACCCACCTGCCTGGTGCAGCTTCAGAGTAGTAATGTGCTGGAGACTGAGGACTGCAGCTACATCTTTATTCTTCCCTGTAGGTGGGATGGGAAAAGGAGGTGTAAAGGGAAGAATAAAAATCAAAAAAATTATTCTTGATCTGGCTTACGTAGTGTACAGGAGGAGGGAGCTCAGAATTTTCACACCTATAGTTCAGTATCAGATACTTGAGTTTTGGTTGTGTTGTCTTCCAGCGTACAGTCAACTGTTGTGCACCGTTAGGTTGTACAGTAATTGAGGAGTGACTGGCAATTGGCTGGCGAGGGGCACCGGCAGTGCTGTCAGTCTTTCAGTCTTGCCAGACAAAATGATGCTGTTAACGTGGTAACAGCAACATTCACACACCTAAATCTCCAGTCCAAGGGCATTCCTTCAGATTGCGTTTCCCTGCTCCTTGCTAGAGGGTAAGACTTTGGATGTGATAGCACTGGTGGTTGCTGAGAGCGCTCCAACTTACCCTCATTTAACTTGTTTTGGGGTGGAGGGCATGGTTTGGGGATCTTTTAGACCTGTGGCATGTATAGCAATCATTTTCATGCGTTCTGTGTATATGCCTTGAGTGAAAGTTGGCACTTTCATTCTTCCATGAAGTAATCTTCTAAACAGTCACTTTACTAAGGCACCTGATGCCCAGTGTGTGGGGCGTCTGCTGAAGTGCTCTTCAGAAACGGTTTTTGTCCATCGGTCCATTGTAATCTTGTGCAATATCGTTTGTAGAGTTCTCACAACAATAAATACTGCCTGTTGGTAAACATGAACTGTCCCCGTCTTGAATGATTCTGTTTACAATTATAAACAACCCCGAGGATGGGGAATTTGTGTGCTGGAGTTGCACAGTAGGTATAATATTGCTGGTACCTGGGTTAATATTTCTCAGAAATATTAAACATTTCCAAATATTAACAGCATTGGAATATCGTAGGAACGTATGGCAAAATAATTAACTGTACAGAAGTTGTTTGTGTACAGAAAGTTGTTTATGCACAGCGGGTGGATGGGCTGATAATGCACAGACTAAGCCTCACGACACACCCTTCTCAGAGTTAAACATTCTAACGGGCAGGGTGTTTATTTTGAAGGCTTCTGTGTGCCAGAAAGTCCCTGCGGTTCACGCTGGTGCCCGGTCAGTGGGCATTGCTTGGCCATTCCGCTTCGCGCCATCCTGTGCCAACCTTGTACCCCGGTCATGGTTTTCTCTTTCTGCCGTCTTTCAGCCTCAACGTTTCCTTTTCCTTTTGGGTGAAGATTCTGAATGGCAGGGGGTGAAGTAACAAATTTTGGGAAAATGGTAGAGATTTGTTGATAGAGTTACGTATTTGTGATGCTGGAGGGAGAGAACCAAATCCTTTGTACCCTCAGGAGCGCGGGAATGCAACAGTTAACCTTCCTGTTGGTGTTCTTACAGAACTGACACCGGTACCAGCAAACCAATGTTCCTGATTCACTCCTTTTTATAGCTCTCTTTGGCTCAGAAAGAACAACTTGTTGAGGAGAACGTTGAACAGCTCAGTATGCCAGTCTCCAGCAAACAGGTGATGGGACAAAAATGGGAATCCGAAATAAAGAATTAAGATGCAGGTAGTGGGACTGTGGATTTTAATGCCTAGGAGACTCAAAGCCCATCTGCCATAGGTTACTTCTGTTGTTTGGGGGTGTCATTTTAATTATTGTTCTCATTTATTTAAATCAGCACCTTCACTAGCTGAAAGAAGTCTCTGGCTGTACCACCGTGGTGCTTACGCTGGCGGCCTGGCCCTTCCTTTGGCCATTTTTTCATGATGCGAGAATGTTGCTGTCTTTTCAGGGAATTCCACTGTTGCCCGATGTGGCAGAGCACGCGGCCCTCTGTCCGTCCCAAAAGACCTCAGAAGAGCGCGTGAAAAATGACCTTTGTCACGGCCGGTGCAGGGCGGCCGGCTGATGGGAATGGGTTCCTGCTGCCGCTGGACGGCAGCCAGCCTCCAGTCCGGGCAGTTCAGGGGCGAATGGCCACTCTCCCGGTGCCCTGTACGCTCCCAGTTGCATTTCCCCAGTACCGGGGTACTTTTGCTCACATGGATGGAGACTTGTTCAGGGTTGCTGTTCGCCCTCCTGTCACTCTGCTCCGTGCTTTCCACCTGCCTCTGCAGGATCTCAGATGGCTGTGGACACACGAAGTGCCACATCTCTTCCCAGCTCCGGATGAAAAGAGCAGTGGAGGAGCAGGGCAGAGCTTTTGTAACCAGCTTTTGCTGCTG